AAGCGACGTTTATTTCCTGTGCCTGTGTGCGTTTCAGCTGCATACTTTGTGGCGCTTTCATTATACTTCTTTGCTTGGCACTTTAACGCCGCTGTAAAAAGGATACAGATGGCACATATGTATACATATGCGAACAAAGCAAACAGGAAGCACAAGTCAAGTGTCAGTCTGCAGGAAAGAAGGGCACCAAATGTGTGTAGGTAGCGCACCCTTAATGTCATTTGTTGTGGCGAAGTAAATTACGTATACGCCATGTGTTGGCCATGGTGGTCGGAAAATTAAGTGCGGCCCGCAGAGCATTTAATTGACCCTTGACTCCACCGACACAAATGCCACATCAAGCGATGTGATGGCAACCATGGCAGCTGACCCAAAATCCCGCCAGCATTTGTCAATCCTGGTGTCAAAATTAAATGTCCGCTGTGGAATGGAATTGCCGGAATGTTGCTGTTGCCTCGGCTGAATGCCGCCGACAGGATAACAACAGTCGTTATAAATTTGTCTAGACGTCATTGTCCACTCACATGACAGGACATCCCACCAACACCCATACCACCACCCACTGGTGGCCCGAATGTCCTTGGACAGCCAGAGTGACATGGCCCTTTGTCCTCTGGAAAAGCGAGTGGGGGGGGGCGAGCCATTTGTCCGGCTGCCACATAAAAATTGTTTTAAATTAGTTGTTAATTTAACTACTTTGCCAGCTTTCGGCCAAAGCCAGCTGCCAAAAGCGGTTAACCATAGAAGACGCTTAATGGCTCTTTTTATGGGGTCACCAGGGAGGTCGACTGGGAACTTGGATAACCACCGGCTTGCCGGGCACTAAATGGAATTTTTCCTAAATGGCCTTCATTCGTATTAGAAGCAGGGGTAGTTAAAATTTGTTTCAGTAAGGATCTAGCGTTTAAAGACCTGAAAACATAAATAATTGTTCTTATATGAATATATTTGAAATATCATATTAGGTGTCTAAAAGTATGCAGTAAAAAAGGATAGTTTCATTGTACTTATAATCTTAAAATATATTGTTGCATACTTTTAGACATCTATAATTACACTTAAAGTGATTTTAAACACCTAGTTACTTGTTTATTTACACTTAAACAAAGTCTTTCTTAAATTAATGACTGAAAATCACATAATCAAGCGAATTAAGCAACTGGTTCCCTTGAACTTAGTTTACACATTTGTCTTAAATGGTATTCATTGGCTGAGGGATTATATTTTGAGATGAACACAAATGTACTTAAATATCCTTTGCCATTGATTCCTGTATACGTTTCTTGAACTATAATTCTTCCTAATCCCCATTGATATCAAAGAGCAACAGATATTTTGTGAGTGCTTTTGAGATATTATATTCAGTGATGTCATAGAAAATTCAAAATGATATTATAAGTTATGTTATATTATATAAGTTATAAGATAGTTAAATACCAGAACTCATAAATAAATCATAATGAATAGAGTATCCTTTCGAAAAATTCTGATTTAATGTTTAATAAATATCTTAATTTAAGAAGATGCGAATTTTTCTGATAGGTATTTATCAGATATCAAATAATTATGTTTGTATAACTCTATTAATGTATGTATCTGCTTATAAGGCTCTTTAAAGAAAAGAAATGGGATATTAAGCACATTTAGCAACAAAAGGCGTTCCTAATTCGTTCTCGAAAAGGACAAACTGGCAGCACTGATTCTATTACCATTGACTCTTGACTCCAAATTGACTTCATTTGCCGAAATGAATTTGATTTATGGACGGGCCACACGCAAACACACACATTTACCCGCATTATCTGTGGTCTTCCGAGTGATTAAGCAATAAATATACAAGTTGACAGTAAATTATTAACGTGGCAAATGGAAGAGTAGATGGGACTTGGGGAACCCAACCCCGACCTGGAGTCATCTTCGGTCGTTTATCGCTGGCATCCTTGCCCCCAAAATCGTTTGGCAAGGCCAGGCACGTAATCCTGGTAAATATTTGAGCAAATATTAAAAGTAGAACAAATTCAAAACGTGACAATCGAATTTTCCCCTTTTCAACCCCAACCCAAAAGGCAATTCTCTCGTTTTGTGGGTGTCAGAAATGGACTTTAAGTGCATAATTTGTGCTCGAATGAGTGGCAATAACCGGAATGCAATTCAAAAGTCATTTGTAAGCGGCACATAAGCCCGTGGGCGGGGTCAGGAATTTTCAGGGTTCTGTCTTTGTGTCTGGGCCTGAGTTAGGATCATAAACGTAAAACGCTTAGCCCCAAAGACAAAGGCAACTCGCATATATATTTTGAAGGGCGACGGGGAGGCGTGGCAGGAGCAACAATGCCGCCAAATGAAACAGCAAACAGAAAAAAGAGCAGGCGTGGGTGTGGGAAAAAAACATGGCCATAACAATAAAAGCACAACAATAAGCAGTAACAACGAGGACAACATCGCCGAGTTCTACGGCATGAGGTAGCACCCACAACACCAGTGCTGACGGCCAAAAAAAGCCATATCAAACATTTAAAACACCTGCAGGTATTTGGCATTGGGTATCAAAATGTTTGGAACAAATAAAAATTCATTGAGCAAGTTATACTTTATTAAACGTATGTATGTAGGCTTTTGTTGTATTTATTATGTTTGCTATTCAATACATTGTTAGGTATTCAATTATGTTTATTCTAACAAAAGCTGTTCCTGAAATGCATCTAAAAAATAGTTTAAAATTTTTTATTTCCTTTATAAAGAAAGTTCTCTGGGATCGTATAGTCCTCGAAATTTGTTTTAATGTTATTAAACCAGTTTTTAAAATATTAAAACAATTTAAAACGCTGAAAACACTATCTGTATCTAATTATCTCTAACCATATTACTTAAATTGAAGAGATTGTAATATTTTGGGTGCCACATGCATCAAAAACCATTTTTGGTGTCTAAAAGTATGCATTAAAGAAGGTATAATCGTCTTTCTGAACAAATTCATTTTATTTCTGAGTTTAAAATAAAATGTTGCATACTTTTAGACACCCACAATGGCAGTTTAAAGTGATTTCAAAGCCCTAATGATTTTGCAGCACCCACGAATAGGAAATATTTTATATTTTTTTTAAAATTAGTAGCCAGATCGGCAGAACTGAAGGAGGTACGAGTACAGGCGCAGGATCAGGATAAAGCAGCGGATGTGGGAGGCAGGCTCGTGGCCATGGTGCTGCCAAGTGTAGCAGATTAACGGAATGTTTGTTAAATGGCGCACGGTTGTGTTTCAGGGGCAGGAATACAGGACTAAAGGACTATGGACTTACAGAAGAGCAGTGGAAAAAGCGGGAAAAAGCGGTGGCAGGCAGGACTTTCTGCAGGCGCGGCTGTGGAATGCCGTAATACTCATAATTTGGGACGACTGTGCGCCATTGTGTGCTAACTTTGGAAAAGACAATGCAGACCCTAATAAGGCAGTCAGACTTGCAGAAAACCACTTTCTATTTCTTCCATTCTTTTAGCTACTTTAAGCTCTTAAAATATTCAATTCCACAGCTTAGTCGGCATTTTAGCTAATTAAAAAAATATAAGAAATGTAGGCCAAGTTTAAGGACTGCAAATCGAATCGCAAAAAAAGGACACACACATTTTTGCCGTTGAGTATTTTCATTTGCCTAATGCTCCTTTAAGCCGCTTAGGTTGTTATATGTGGTCGGTCTCTTTTGTACATATAAATTTAAGCCTGGGTGTACACTCAAGTTGCTCTGGCAGTTCTCTGTGTGTGTGGTGACAATGATGGACATTTAAGTAGGGATTTATTGGGTGTTGAAAAATCAATGGATCGAACGCAGTTTTGTCAAAGAATCACCAATCATTCGAGCTAGTTTCCTAGCTATTTTCGAATTAGATTTATTTGTTATAGAAATATATTTTATAATGTTCAGGTATACATATTTCCAGATACATAGTTCGATTTAAGATAGCTAGCCAGGATTTATAAAAACAATTCCAATGGCTTTGCAAACCGTTTCTATTTAAATCATGACTTCTGTATTTATGGCATAACGCCTCAATTCACATGAATGATTTCATTGTTGGCTGGCTGGAGGCAAACTCAATTCGAGGTGGCCCAAAAATTCGACAAAGGCATTCTTGTATGAGCTTATATATTTATACACGATTTCAATTGATTTGCCGTCAATTTCATTTGCCAAAGTAAAAATACCAGAGTCCCAAAATGTGGCAGATATATATATTTCTATATATAGCATGTTTGTATATAGGGCAGACTTGCCCCGAGCATGATGAATTATTATTTTTCCCCTCAGAAACCCACTCCCTTCGCGCATTACGCATACGCACCGTGTACTCAAATTCAAGTCGAGGCCGCCTGTCAGCATGTTTGTCCGTTGTCCGTTGTTCGCTGTCCATTTGTCCGCTGGCCCAACCGCAATCATTCATCATGGTTCACCAACAACAAGGCGCAACAAGCAGCACATTGTTGTTGTTTGGTTTGGTTGAGCCCCCCATTTTCCGCTCATTTTCCACCCTATCCCTTAAATGATATCTCATATCCCCATCCCAAAAAAACCACCCACTTTGACATCGATATGGCGTTGATACACACGTTCTTCGAGCGGACATTGTTAATGTTTTCTACGTGTATTGTTTTCCCTTTTCTTGTTTTTCCCAAACACATTTGAACTGAACCAAAGGCAATTATACTTCCCTAGCAGCCAAACCAATCCCCAAATGTGCTAATCCATCAATAGGACTCAACGGGAGGCTCAACACTTTGTCTTCTTTGGGTTCCCCAAAAAGAACCGTCAGCATTTGTACATGTTCCATTGTGTGCGAAACGGAAGCTGCAACTTATTACAAGTATTCAATAACTTTGTTTCCTTAAACATGGTAAAAATTATCCTTTTAAGGCTTATATATATATTGGATTGGTTTGAAAAGTAGTTATTTTAAGTATATATATATACAGAAATAATTTTATAAAAAAAAAATTTTAGCGAAAAGAAACTATCTTTGGAATAACCAATTGTTAATACATATTTTTAATTGTCTGAATAATCTAAAATATTATAAAAGTAGCTGTTCTCGGCTTACTTGCCCTATGGCAAATAAAGGGAAGTTTAGTAATACACGGCTGGTCATCAAGACCATTAGTATAACGTGCATCCAAATCCAGCATATCGCAGCGAACCGTATCATCTCGACCATCTGGCTGTCCTTTAGACCATACGTCCTTAGTCACGTTTCGTCCAGTCGAAAACCAAACATGTTTCCACTGTATGTACAAATCGGTGCCAGAAGTCCAATAACCTTTGTCTCTGATATACAAATTGTGGTTCTTCATGTGGTTTATAACCTGATTCATCTCATCGTGGTTATCAAACGCGACCAAGTAAGCCTTCATTTTTCGACAAGCTATGTAGGCAGCATACCAATTAAGATGAATATTACGTTCAAAAATGTAAAAGCGGGTGCCGATCTTTTGGAATCGACCTGTTATATTGGTTATATCCAGAGTACTAGGAATACCTAATTGAAACGCACGATAAATTATTAACAGAAACACTCTTGGTTACACAATCCTACCAGTCATAATATTCGCTGTTATATTGTAGGCCCCAGACAGGGAAATTGTTGCCAAAAAGGCAAAAAGTGTAGTAAACTTCAACCACATTTTGTAAGTACTAGGGAAACCTTTGTTCAATGCATTCCTTTTATACCGAGTTCGTGCCAGAACCATGATGAAAATTAATGATACACCCAAAAAAATAGAAATGGTAACGCATGACCTTAAAATTTTAAGTACACTAAAACTTTAGTATTAGGTAATGGCTTACCTACACCCAAAAAAAAAATCGCCCTTAAATCAAGAAATTCGCCTTTAAATCAAGAAAATCGCCTATGATTTTCATCCAACGGCGACTCACCTTTATTTTAAATAAATAATTTTCTTGAATTTATGGTTTGCCATTTCTGGAAATAATGACAAATTTTTCTTAAATGTATGGTAAAAAACCTTAAAATTAAGGAAAAATTTATTAAAATAAGAAAAAAAAATATTTATGATGTAAGATTACATCATTTTACATTTTACACCTTACATTTGAGGAATTTGGTTGGTTTTGTATACCAATGTTGAATTTTAAATGGATAAAACCGTTTCTAATTTTAATGGCAATTATTACATGGGATTACTACAGTCTGAAAATTTTTATATTTACCTGAATTTATTAAAGATTTATTTTATATAAATACTTTTTATAAACATATAAATAAATATAACAAATGGAAAAATCCTTACCTCAGACAACCCCGGCGTGAACTCGAACCCGCAACTGCTCACACCATAGCAAGACGTCTTAACCATTCGGCCACGCGTGCTTCTTGTCATACAATGACTAAAGAGGGCTAAGGTGCTTTTGGTCCAGCTTTACGCATACAAATAACGTTTATTCTAATCTAAACCTTTTTAACAACCGTTTAAACAATTTGGTAAATAGAAAAGTGAAACTAATAAGAATAAAAATTACATAAATTAAAAAAAAAAGATAAATAAATAAACAAAGGGTACACTTGCCGTGGCGTGGGCTCGAACCAGGTACTTTTGTTCGATTGTTTATTGACCGGACGTCTTTACCAGCTAGACCACCATCAAAATGTATAAAAAAAAGTCACTTTCTCTTAAAATATGGATATTTCTTTCCTAAATTTAAGTAAGAATTTACCATTATTTCAAGAAAAAAAATCAAGAAAAATTCGCCATTAATTGAAGAAAAAAATGGGATTCTTCCTCTTCTTCATTACAAAAAAAAAAAAAATTATGGCGAATTCCTTAAATTGTAGGCATTTTTTCTATAATCAAGAAAATATTTCTTAATTCAATGGCGTTTTGAAATCACGGGCGATTTTCTAATATTTATGGTGATTTTTTTTTTGAGTGTAGTACTAAAAAAATGTGGACTATAATTCTATATGTCTATATGTCATGAAGACCTAATGATTTGTTCCAAAAACTCTGTGAAAGATAATTTAAAAAATATAATTTGCCTTTGGCTTTGCCGTGGGGATTTCAAATGGACTCGTAGACCTGAGGCTAGCCGATCGGAAGATAAAATATTTTAACTTAATAAGCAATTAAAATAAATAAATAATATAACTTACATAAGTTGCCACTTAAAATTTTTTTGACAATACAATAAAAAATCGTTGGTGATAAATGTTTATTTTTATTTAAATTTAAGGTTATATACTTTTTCTTGTTTTTTGGTCATGATTCCTAACATTTTTGGTAATACTTTTTCGATAAGTTTTGTTTTCTGGGTGTACCCTCACTTGATTAGTTATTCTACTTGAATAATTTTGACGTTTTAGATAATAATAATAATTTAATATTATAATATTTTGGGGCAGCTTGCTTCTTTCCATAATATTGGAAAGAGTTATTTCGATTTTATACAGCGGCATGTTCGTTAGAAATGTTTGTTATTCGTGGTCATGCGGTAAATTTATCTTGCACTTGCTTCTGTGCATAATATTGGAAAGAGTTGTTTCGATTTTATACGATTTATTTTTATCGTTAAAAATGTTTTTTATTCGTGGTTATGTAATGAAGAGCACAAGTGTTAAAAGTGCTGTAAATGTATCTTATGTTAAATGTGAAATAGTTTGGTGGTCTTTAAGTAGCCTTTTACAATAAAACCCGTGTGGCCCATATAAGCTTATCGTTTACTAACAAATGAAATATAATAAATAAAATAATTAAAGAAGATTTTCATTTCCCTTGGTTAACGTACATTTAAAACTTCTTTCGTTTGAGTGCAAAAGTAGAAGAGACAAATTTCGCAGTCATTAGTGGAATTCAAATATAATTGCCTGGGAAAAGAATCCGCCAACTGTGGGGCCATTAAAAATCACTCCAAACTGCTTAGACTGCAAATTGTGTTTTACATTTCTTTCCCTCATTATTTGCACACGGAAGTTGGACACGAATTATGGCCAATGTATAATAGCCATTAAAACTTTCTTGTTTGCCCGACAAGTTGAAGGAGAGGAGAGGACAAGGCGGGCAAGCTAGCAGGAAAATGGAAAATGGAAAACCGAAATAAGCCAAGGTAGCCAAAGCAATAATCATTTCGCTCCCTGACTGACTGTCGTTGTTTTTATATACACAGAAATAAATATACCCATTACTCGTAGAGTAAAAGGACATACTAGATTCGTCGGAAAGTATGTAACCGGCAGATTCCTGAGATTCTTATGCAGCGCAAGTTTGTGTCACGCCCACAAACCGCCCAAAACTGTGGCTCCTACAGTTTTGATGCTAGAATACAAATTTTAACTCAAATGTATTGTTTTCATCAATACCTATCGATTGACCCAACAAAAAAGTTTGCCACGCCCACTTTAACGCCCACAAACCGCCCAAACCTGTGGCGCCCACATTTTTCATGCTAGAAAACATTTTTTATCTGAAATGTATTAGTCTAGTAAATACCTATCGATTAACCCAAAAAAAAGTTTGCCACGCCCATAACCCTTAAATCTGTCTACCGCCCACATAACCATATATTGAGAAAAGGGGTAGGTGGCGCATTTCAGTCTCGCATTGCTACTTGCATAGCTCCATTTCTGTTTTATAAAATAAAATTTTAGCGAAAAGAAACTATCTTTGGAATAACCAATTGTTAATACATATTTTTAATAGTCTGAATAACCTAAAATATTATAAAAGAAGCTGTTTTCGGCCTCGATGCCTTATAGCAAATATAGCCAATTTCTGTGGAGCACGGCTTGTCATTAAGACCCATTTTCCCGTCCCGTCCTCGCAATTCCAGCTCATCACAGTGTTCGTTATTATCTCGATTATTTGGCTCTAATTTAGCCCAAAATTTCGAAGTCACGTTTTTTCCATTCGAAAGCCAAACATGTTTATGCGCATATTGCAAATCGGTGCCAGAAGTCCAATAATTACTGCCATTAAGCTTTTCGTCTGTACTGATGTGTTGATAAAGAAATTCTAAATCTTCATGCCTATCAAACCCGAGCAAGTCAGCCTCCATTCGTCGACAAGCTTCGAAGGCACCAAACCAAGTAAGCTTAATATTGGGTTCAAAAAAGTAAAAATTGAAGCCGATCCTTCGGAATGGACCTATTATATCGGGTATAGCCAGATCCTTAGGAATACCTAATTGAAACAAACGATAAATTGTTAGCAGAAACACTCCTGGTTACTCAATCCTACCATTTATAATATTCGATGCTACATCGAGGGCCCCAGACAGGGAAATTGTTGCCAAAAAGACAAAAAGTGTAGTAAACTTCAACCACATTTTGTAAATACTAGAGAAACCTTTGTTCAATGCATTCCTTTTATACCGAGTTCGTGCCAGAAACATGATGAAAATTAATGATACACCCAAAAAAATAGAAATGGTAATGGCATGACCTTAAAATTTTAAATACACTAAAACTTTAGTCTTAGGTAATGGCTTATCTAGTACCAAAAAAAATGTGGACTATAATTCTACTTTTAAGGTTATGGAAAACGGCAAGACGTCTATATGTCTTGAAAACCTAATGATTTGTTCCAAAAACTCAGTGATAGATAATTTGAAAAATATAATTTGCTTTTTGTTTTGCCGTGGGGATTTCAAATGGATTCGTAGGCCTGAGGCTAGCCGATCGGAAGATAAAATATTTTAACTTAACAAGCAATTAAAATAAAATAATAATATAACTTACATAAGTTATCTCTTAAAATTTTTTTGACAATACAATAAAAAATTGTTGGGGATAGATGTTTGTTTTTTATTTTAAATTTAAGGTTATGTAGTTTGTCTAGTTTTTTGGTCATGATTCCTAAAATTTTAGGTAATTCTGACACTTTTTCGATAATTTTTGTTTTCTGGGTGTACCCTCACTTGATTAGTTATTCGACTTGAATAGTTTTGGCGTTTCAGATAATAATAATAATTTAATATAACAATATTTTGGGGCAGCTTGCTTCTGTGCATAATATTAGAAAGAGTTACTTCGTTTTTATACAGCGGCATGTTCGTTAGAAATGTTTGTTATTCGTGGTCACAAGTGTTTAAAGTGCGGTAAATTTATCTTGCACTTGGTTCTGTGCATAATATTGGAAAGAGTTATTTCCTTTTTATACAACTTTCTTGTTTGCCCGACAAGTTGAAGACAAGGCAGGAAAGCTGTCAGGAAAATGGAAAATGGAAAGTCGAAATAAGCCAAGGTAGCCAGAGCTTAAGGTGGAACACGAGAGTTAGACGAAAACTGTTGCAATAATCATTTCGCTCCCTGACTGACTGTCGATGTCCTTGGCAGGACAAAGCGTTTGCCAGGACATACATAAAGCTATGTAAAACAAAAATACAAAAAATCCTGGGGAAGGAAAGAACAACTCGGATAGAAAAATTCAGCAGAGCGGAGCTCCGCAATTGCGCGACTGTCAATACAAAACGAACAATTATATGGTGGCCCAAAAGGGGGAGAAAAGCTGGAGGAGCAGGGAAGATTAGCAGGATGTGGAGGAGCAGGAGCTGGCCAACTAGCTGCCAATGACAATGGACAATGGCCACACACACACACAATGGCAACAGGCTACTGTGTCCTTCTGAATTATTGAGCGTGCAACTTGTTGAAAATCCAAGGATACCGCCGAAAGGAGATGCTGCGGGCGGGCTTTTACACACAAGAAAATTAGAGGAATTGGAGATTATAACTTAATTAATAATAATATATTTATTATAATACATTATTATAATAATAATAACTTCAATTTTATAATAATTCAGATATTTGATTTAAAAAAAAAACATTTTCGAGTTGTTTTCGATTTTTTTTTTCTTCCTATGCCAGAAAGATCTTTTAATACCTAATTAATATTATTATTATTAAGAAAGTTCTTATTAAATTGCCTTGAGTAACATGCAGATTTTTTTCTGTGTACCCACTATGTTCTGTGTGCCTGTATGTGTGTTGCCTTAATTTACTCATTTCAACAAAATGTTAAAAATTTACCAAGTTCTTTTCCCACGGGAATGTTGCCTAGGGAATGAGTAGCTAAAGCGCTGAGAACAATTAAAAAGTTTGAGGCACTGACAAAGAATGCGCCAAGAAATGTGGATGGGTTTATGGCTTTTTAATGGGTTAAGAGCGTGAAAGGAATTGAAGGATGGGATGACATTCCTAGATGGAAAAAGGTGTTAAAGCGTGGTAAAGAAAATTTCAAGGGAATGTCCTTGAAAATTAATACAACTTTGAGCATGCTTTTTCAACGTTCAATTTGCCATCATCAATCAGTAACATTTTCTCAATCAATTTTTGGTATAACAAGGGAAATTGAAGTAGCTGGAAATAAAAAGATGTACTATCAGCTCAATTTTATCCCCTCTCAAGAGCTCACAATTCCCAGCACTTTATTTTTAAAGGTATACTACACATTTTATGCAGCTTTTTAGATGCCATACCTCCGCCGCAAGTGGATATCCGTTAATTTCATTGGACCATTGGCAACAGCAGCTCGCAGCTGGCTGGAATGGCAGTCACGTCGATATTGTATGGCCAATTTGTTCGTGACTAACACTTTCATGGGCAGTTAGCCAGTTAGCTCCAGTTGAGGAGCATTAAACTGCCACAGTTTGCTCAGCAAATAAGCGGAGATGTGGTAAGAAGCCACAAAGAACAAAAGCCAGAGATGTATTCAGTGAGTTGAACAACTGAAACCTGATTTTATGTCACTTGGAAAGATAAAGAGGATTTAGGAAGCTTTCACACGCATGTGTTCGTAGTTTTAGAAAAATATAAAATACAAGGAAAATATAAAAAAGACATAAAGACATTCTTCAGCAATATTGTATATTATTTTATTGAAAGGTGTTTGGGCTCACAAAAAAAACTCTTCCCCTAATATTTAATTTCATGGACAATCTACCATACGATAAACGAAGCTGTTTTGGCTGGAGTGCCTTGCAAAACAGAGGACGTGGCAACATTTTTGTATGTTTATTGATAAGTACTGATAACAGCAATATATATCACTTCAAATTTTTATTCTAGCATTAAAACTGTAGGAGCGATTGTATTGAGTGCTTTGATGACAATAGAGTTGGCACGATCATATGGATTGACCCAACTAGTGATCCTGGTCAAGATTAAAATTGAATTGATTAAAAAAAAGACTCCATTCCATAAACAAATTTCCGAGCAATATTGGGCATTATGTTATTGATAGATGTTCGGACTTAAACAGAACTCTTCCTATAATTTGGTGGACAATCTACCACACGATAAACGAAGCTGTTTTTGGCTGGAGTGCCTTGCAAAAGAGAGGACGTGGCAACATTTTTGTATGTTTATTGATTAGTACTGATAAGAGCAATATATATGTTCAACTTTTTATTATAGCATTCAAACTGTAGGAGCGATTGTATTGAGTGCTTTGATGACAATAGAGTTGGCACGATCATATGGAGTGACCCAACTAGTGATCCTGGTCAAGATTAAAATTGAATTGATTAAAAAAAGACTCCATTCCATAAACAAATTTCCGAGCAATATTGGCATTATGTTATTGGTAGATGTTCGGACTTAAACAAAACTCTTCCAATAATTTGGTGGACAATCTACCACACGATAAAAGAAGCTGTTTTCGGATGGGGTGCCTTGCAAATGTATCCAAGATTAAAAGAGCAGTTTTTGTCATTCAGGCCCACTCCTACACCCGGTTTGATTCTCAGCTCATCGCAGTGTTCCGCTTTGAATTCATTATTTGGCTCTCCCTTGAGCCATAAATCCGAAGCCACGGGCTGTCCATTTGAAAACCAAACGTGTTTATCCTGTTTGGCCCAATCAGTGCCCGAAGTCCAATGTTGTGCAGCCATTTTGTTATCAATAAGGTACTGAGATACAAGTTTCAATTCCTCTAAGCTTTCAAAAGCTACCAAATCAGCATCCTTTTGTTTGCATGACTCGAAAGCAGCATACCAATTATCTCCATTACTTTCAATAATGTATAAATTGGAGCCGATCTTTATAAATGGAGGTAAAGATTGTGTAACATTCACGAACCCAGGAACGCCTAATTGAGGAAAACAAAAAGTAGTTAGCAGGAACACTCCTGGGGAAACAAGCTTACCATCAATCACATTAGGTGTTATTTTGTAGCCCCCAGACAGGGAAATTGTTGCAAAAATTGCAAAAAGTGTAGTAAACTTCAACCACATTTTGTAAGTACTAGAGAAAACTTTGTTCAATGCATTCCTTTTATACCGATTTCGTTCCAGAAACATGATGACAAATAACGATACACCCAATCAAATAGAAATGGTAACGCATGACCTTAAAATTTTAAATACACTTAAACTTTAGTCTTATGTAATGGCTTACCTAGTACTAAAAAAATGAGGACTATAATTCTACTTTTAAGGTTATAGAAAACGGCAAGACGTCCATATGTCTTAAAAACCTAATGAGTTGTTCCAAAAACTCAGTGATTGATAATTTGAAAAATATAATTTGGCTTTGGCTTTGCCGTGGGGATTTCAAATGGATTCGTAGACCTAAGGCTAGCCGATCGGAAGACAAAATATTTAAACTTGTTAAGCAATTAAAAAAATAAACAATATAACTTACATAAATTATCACTTAAAATTAGTATTAAAAATTAGTACACTGGTCAGCACAAGTATTTTGACGAAACATAAGTTAAGTACGAGTATACTCATAATTTGAACTTACTTCTTGTAATCTTTGGCATCAATGGAAAGGTAATTTAAATGCCGTTTGAATGATATTATACATTTCTTAACCCATTATATAATTTTGAAAATGACAAGTTTGTGTAAAAATCTAGTTTTTAAACTTTTTTCCTGGTCTTGAAGCAAAACGTTTCTCCAAACAAAAATAATAGTAACTACAAAAATATTTTTTCAAAATTCAGTTTGCTTATATTTTTTATAATTTTTTGAAAACGTTCAGAAACATGCATTGGAGCCATAGTTTTCTTTTTTTCATACAAATTTTTTACGACATTGTTACCTTTAAAAATTCGTAAAAAATATAAGCAAAATGATTTTTGAAAAGTTGTTTTTGCAGTTACTATTATTTTTGTTTGAAGAAACTTTTTGCATCAAAAATTTAAGTTTTCAAGACGAGGAAAAAGTTAAAAAAGTAGTAGTAATGAACGGGTTAAGAAAAGTATTGTATCACTTAAAAAACATTTAAATTACCTTTCCATTGATGCCAAAGCTTACAAGAAGTAAGTTCAAATTATGAGTATATTTAACTTTTGTTTCGTCAAAATACTTATGCCGACCAGTGTATACTTCAACAACATTTTGTAAATACTAAAAATACCCTTGTTCAATGCGTCCCCTTTATACTTATTTCATGCCAAAAATATGATGAAATAATGCCAAGCGATAAGATAAAGGTTAAGATGGCTGCTTTCACTGAAATGTTTAAGAACTAAGAATTAAGTTTTCCCCTAATATTTAATTCAATGGACAATGGACATACGATAAAAGAAGCTGTTTTTGGCTGGGGTGCCTTCGAAAAGAGGGCGTGGCAACATTTTTGTATGTTTATTGAAGTACTGATAAGAGCTATATATATCAGTTTAAATTTTTATTCTAGCACTAAAACTGTAGGAGCGACAGTATTGAGCGGTTTGAGGGAAATAGAGTGAGCGCGGCACCTTGCTGAAATAAACTTGCGGTGCGCAAGAAACTCTAGATTCTGCATGCCTAGTCCCAAAATTGTAGCTTTTATAGTTACCAAGATCACAGTGTTCATATGAATTGACCCAACTATTGATCCTGATCAAGATTAAAATTGAATTGATTAAAAAAAAGACTCCACTCCATTCCTTAAACCAATTTCCGAACAATATTGTGTATTCCTTTATTGATAGATATTCGGACTTAGACAAAACTCTTCCTATAATTTGGTGGACAATCTACCACACGATAAAAGAAGCTGTTTTTGGCTGGGGTGCCTTGCAAATGTATCCGTCAATATAAGAGCACCTCCTGTCATTCAGACCCACACCTACACCCGGTTCGATTTTCAGCTCATCGCAGTGTTCCTCATTATTTTCATTGTTTGGCTCTCCCTTGCGCCATAAATCCGAAGCCACGGGTTGTCCATTCGAAAACCAAACGTGCTTATCCTGTTTGGCCAAATCAGTGCCCGAAGTCCAATAATATGCAGCCATATTGTTATTAATAAGGTATTGAGATATAAGCTGCAATTCCTCTAAGCTTTCAAACGCTATTAAATCAGCTTGATTTTTTTTACAAGATTCGAAGGCAGCAAACCAATTTAGACCCTTAGTTTCAATAAAGTAGTAATTATGGCCGATCTTTATAAATGGAGCCGTGGTAATATTCAGGAATCCAGGAACGCCTAATTGAGGTAAACAAAAAGTAGTTAGCGAGAACACTCCTCGGAAAACAATCTTACCTTCAATCACATTCGGTGTTATTTTGTAGGCCCCAGACAGGGAAAGTATTGCCAAAAAGGCACACATGCTAGTATACTTCAAACACATTTTGTAAATACTATAAATACCCTTGTTCAATGCGTCCCCTTTTATATCGATTTCGTGCCAAAAATATGAGGGAAAAATGCCAAGCGATAAGATAAATGATAAGAAGGCTCTTTTCACTTAAATTTTAAAGAATTAAGTTGCACTTAAAACTAGACCCTTTATCGTTCATATAAGCTTACCGTTAACAGTCATGATATCATGATACGATCGATAGTAAAACGAATCAGATATATCAAGAGAGAGTCGAGTCCCTCAACTATCAGATACCCAATGCTCAGTTACTAAAAATGATACATTTACATTTTTTATTAAAAACAGAAGACAATATTTTCTTAACGGACTTTTATTATTTATTTGTATTGCAGAAAATGTTTGAATAGAGATGGCCAAACTTTCACGACGTGCCTCGTCGTCTGCAGCAACGCCCGCCAGAGCAACAACAGCAACTACTGCAAGTACAGGAGCAACATCAGTCAATCCAAGTCATGCCACAGGCGCCACGCAGCAACAAGAGGAGCAGCATCAGCAGCAGGAGCAACATCAGCGACAGGAGCAACATCAGCCACAGGGAGAAAGTCAGCAACATACAAAGCAGCAGCAGCCACATCAACAGTTGCAGCATCAGCAGCAGCAACGCATTGCCCGTCGTGCCGCCAGTAACAGCAACATTAACAGCAGCAACAGCAGACCCCAAGCAGCGGCACTCATTGACACGAGTCCTGATGTCCTCCATGAGAATCCACCGCCATCACCGACACCGGCGGCGCTTTCCAACCACAGCAGCAGCAGCAGCAGCAACAACAGCTACCACAGCAACACTGCCACGCCCACAGCACCCGCCCACGCCCACGTCACGGCCACGCCCTACATGCCGCTGCTGCCTCCGGGCGAGCGGAATCTGACGGAGGCGGAAAATGCGGCGGAGCGGGCCAGGATTCGGGAGGAGTTCTTTGCCACCTATGACGTGATGACGGGCGTCAGGATCGCGGCCACTTTGGGCGGCTTCTTCGGCCTGATGGTCTTCCTGATCGTCTGGAAGAGTCGCAGCAGCAGCAACGAGACGCTGAAGGTCCTCAAGGATCCCAAAATGGCGGCAGTGGCGGCGGTTTGCATGCAGGAGGAGGAGGAGCGCGAGATCCACGACGCCATCGTGGCCACGGGGATGTCCATTTATCCGGATGAATACGATGCGATGGTCTATCGACGGCAGCGGATGCTCTCGCTGGGCAATGTGAGTGCTCCACCATTGCTTAATCGGGGATATCGCTGCGGATCGATGGGTAAGACTTTCAAAGGGGATCCAAACTTGCTAACCAAGTTAAAACCCTTTACATCATTTTTCTAGGTGGCGTTGGCGTGGGTGTTCCCGTGGGCTATAGCTATCTACTGGAGCCGCCGCGCCGCTTCTCCTACTCCTCAATGTCCGGCGGAGGAGGACCCGGTTCCGGACATGTGGGACGTCGCAAGAGTGGCTCGGAGTCGTCGCGCATCTTCAGCAACTATCCCATGGGCGGCAGCTTTGGCACCGACGACTATTTCGTGGAGACGGAGGACGAACTGGAGGCGGAGGAGTACATGCAACCAGGTGCCACGGATGGGCGGGATGATCACCAGCACCAGAGGACGGACTCTACACGCAGCAAGCCGGGATTCCTGTCCGTACCGATGGCGGTGAGTGAAAGTGGAGTGGCCTCTCCAAAATCCAGGAACTATCCTTCAATAAATGCATCATTTATCCAAACAGGGTCAGGACTCGCGTCGGAGCAGTGCCATGACCTGCTGCAGCACGGATAGCTCCTACCTGGAGCGGCGCACCTCCGCCTACATGGCCGGTTGCATGGGCAACCTGCCGACTACGCTGCAGAGGAAGCTATCGACTGCCTCGCGGACATCAAGCATCGAGAACTGGGACTACTACTACCCGGACATCCAGGTGATCCAGCCGACGCCCAAAGCCTCGCCCTGTCCCTCGGAGCGCAGTGTCCACGAGGGATCGGGATCGGGTTCCGCATCCGGTAACGGATCGAGGACCTCCAATCTAAGTGCTACGAACATCAAGCGAAAGCACAGCATCGTGTCCTACGATCCGGATAGTGCGCAGGCTGGCCGGAAGCAGCAGATCCACTCGATCAGTGCGGACACCGTGGACGTCTATCCGTACAACCAGGAGAGCACCGTGGATCTGGCCTTGGCCCTGCCACTGCCCAAGCCAGTGCAGTCGGCCCCGCCCACCAGTGCCCACCAGGCGTTCCACTTCTGCGACTCGCCCTCCGAAGAGCTGCGGCTGGGTGTCCGGCGGAAGCTCACCCTGGTGGAGCTGCAGCGCAACGAGAGCAACAACAACAGCTTTCCGTACACAGCGAATGCAGCTGCTCCGGTTGGAGTAGCAGGCACGGCAGCCAGTTCCAGTAGCATCAGTGTGGACAGCACTCCGGTGAGTCTGGAGCGGTTAAATGGAGCCGGTAGCGCTGGAAGCGCCAGCTTGGCCACCATTTCCGTATCCAACAAAATACCGGCTGCGCTGATGGGCAATAGCAATCCAGAGAAGCGAGCGCCATTGGCTTCTTTAAGTTCCTTTAAGATCTCCTCGCTGGAGTGTCCCGATTCCGAGCTGCGTTCCTTAGACGAGGACTCGGTTTTTGGGCTGGAGAGTCCGGCGGACACGGACGATGATATGCAGCAGCTGAGCAGCGACAGCGAGGAGCAGGAGGCGGCCGCCCAGGCTCAGGCTCAGGCCCAGGCCGCTTCGATTCGGGCTGGTGGGGAGACGAAGGCTAATCCTCTGCTGCTTGGCATGCCCGTGAAGCGGATGAGTCTGAGTGCGGTGCCCTCGGGGGGTTTCACAGGTGCAGCCTTGACTGGGGGCGGTGGCGGTGGCGGTGGTGGTGCTCGGCCACGAAGACCACTGCTCCAAAGACATCGCACCATCAGCGTCACCTCCAGCGATCGGGTGGCCCTCATCAATCAGCCCCTGCAGCTGCAACAGTTCCACATGGGCTTGCCCATCCAATCAGAGGCGCCACCGCTGGAAACCCACTTTGGGGCAGTGGTGAGTCAGAGTCCTCCCAGGCGGGGACCTCTACTGCAGCAGTACAGTGATCCGCAGACGACGACGACGACCACAACGACCACCACCACGGAGGAGGACACCTGTTCCACGCTGAACACGGAGCTGGGATTGGTTGAGGCCTCGGGAGCAGCACTTGGAGTTGGTGGTGGTGGTGGTGGAGAGTCCGCCACGCACACGCAGTACAGCAGCCTCAACACGGTGATCAGCATGGGTCGGTCCACGCCCAGTCCCATTCCCATTTCCGTTCCCGTTCTGACCACCCGGATGGACAATAATGCCACCGCCTCACAAGTCACACAGCAGCCAGCTCAACTGCCAACGAATGCCATCCGGCTGGTACACGATCCCTGCCCCTCGTCTGTCTCCGACTCGGTGATAGCCACCCGGCAGCAAAGCATCTGCATGCCCGCTTCCCTTAAGGATCTAATCCTGCGTAAGGGATCGGCTCCAGCTTCAGCTTCCACAAGCGTTATCAGCCGAAGTGCCGCCAACCTGAGCTGTGAGAGTGGAGCCACTGCAGCAACCACAACGACTGCGACGCCCGCCGTCATGCTTGAGCTTCCCCTAATCAGGCTGCCCAATGAGGAGGATGACGAGCATCAGTTGGAGCACCATGCCCACTTGGAGCGGGACAGCGGTGAGAAGCGCGATCCCAGCCTGCCCGGCACTTCCCGGAAATGGTCCAAGGAGACACTCTTCTAGCCCAGCTGGTTTCCACTGCTCCAACAAAGGCAGTTCCCTGGGCCGGGCCACTATTTAAGAGCTTAGAAACTGACTTTGAGCGCATGGTAATGGGATCTACAGTGAAAACTCCCCATAGGGGACGATGGCTCATGAAGTTTGTGATTAGCTTTCAAAATTCTATAGCCAAAAACATTGTTCACTATAAAAATGTAAAGCAGATTACACAACCAACTTATGAGAACATATACTACTTTTGGAAAAGACTACAAAGTATAAAGTAAACTCTCTTTCCGAAGATCAGTGTCATAAGTACTATAATCTAAAGAGTTTAAAAAATGTACTTGAGAAGAACAGAGTTGTAAAAATATTCTCACTCAGGGGAGTTTTCACTGTAATTCCGGTAGTCACATGGTCCGGCAACCAACTTCCTGGGTTGCTCGGGACCCGGAACTATAAAACACGAGTATTGACGAGTATTTAGGCATAGATAAGGAGGATTAGATTAAGCGCATTTAGTCAAAACATAAGTTTGGCATAAGGAGTTACAGTAGTATATGCCTACTAATCATGAAGAGAGTAATGAACAGCAACATGAACAACAACGTATTCGTACTTAGAGACTGTTGTCTATTATTGTTAATAGAACTCTAAAAGTTAAGTAGTGATACTCGGATTTATTTTTCACACTTTATCTATAAAGCAAAAGTGCAGGCGTACAAATGTATATATTTGTATGCGGCCCTATACTGAGGAGAAGGTTTATATATTTCTATAGGTATATCGCCAGCCGCCATAATTCATATATCGATCGGTCTTTCTATCTCTATCCCTCACTCTCTCCCTATTACGGAATGAAAACTCTTCTAGTGTCTTAAACAGCAGCCAAATACTTAAAGTATTGTAATTTAGAAATTTTATAGATTGCACAACAACTCCGAATCAAGTCGAATCGATCGAGATCGAGTTATCCTTGCAACAGATGTACTCTGACAGAAGACCTTAGGACCTCAAAAGGTCCCCCCGAAGATGCCTAAATGTCTTTTACGCGTAGCTAGACAAAAGTTGCAGACTTTCTAGGAACATTTTCGCATTTCCCGCTCCTGCCTGTTCGAACACGAATTGTTGGAAAATAAAATAGAGTTGTTGTCAGCATATAGAGTTACAAAGCGAGTATAAAAATTGAAAACAAAAAAAAACAAACAGAACATATATGTAAACAATTTCCTAACTCATCCCACCTACGCATCTCTATTTTTCTATGAAAAGCTAAAGCCAAGGAAAGGAATACAGTCGAAACGGGAAATAAATCAAACAACTTGTATTATTCAAATCAAAATACATAAATAGTGGTCGACACGCAAGATAGTATGATAATAGAGCTGCATTTTGAGGTGCCCCAGCCCCCTAGAGATTTTCTCACAAGCCTGAGCCTCAGCCTGAGCCTGATTTGTACCTTTCCTATGCATAAGTATATATTTATATACACCACACATGTATAAATCGAGCCCTATTTGAATATTTTTTAATACTAGTAAGTATTTTGTACGACGAGATCAACTCGAAAGGCGCCTAAGAAATGCAAATGGTATATCAAAAGTAAACCCCCCAAAAACAAAACAAAACATTTAATTGTTGGTTATATGCTGAAGAACGTAAGAGTAAATGAAAATTCGAAAATATTGTAATTGTAGCGTTGATTTGTTTCAAATGAGCAAAAATATACATAAACTAATTACGTAGATAAATATACATACCTATATTTAATGAAACCAATGAGCAAACCTAACTTGTGTAAGTCAAAGAGTAGCGGAACCAATTGTTAAACCTAAGCATAATAAATCTGTAATAAAACTGAGCTGTTGTATTAAATGAACAATAACAATGTTGAAGACAAAGTTTGGATATCAACGCCAATGCGTAGAGCATTCAGTTTGATAACTTCTAATACGAGTACTTAGTGTTTTTACTAGAAAAGTCTCCTTTCTCCCCCTAACCCCCCTTTCGTTGCGATGTTTTCTTTTATACTTTTGTACTAACACCCATTCCTCTCTTAGTCTGACCTAAATTCCATAATGTTTATGAAGTCGATGTCTATATGTACCTCTAGCTAAACTCAAAGCATAATTGATCAAATTGGTAAACGAAAGCAATTCGAAATTAAAACAAATATGTGTACTCCTAACGCGCAAAAACAGAATTAAATATGCAAGGTTACTTTAAAGAATGGATTAAAATTTTTAAAAAGTATGAGCTATTAAAGAACAAACTTAGTTAAATGTTATATATATGAAAAACAAAGAAAATTGATGTACATGTTAGCGATATTAATGAGAAATGTGACAAGTGAAAAATAAACCAGAAGAAAATACATATACACAAGTTGCCAAGAGACAGTCGCTTCTATTTTGGGATTATCAATTTGTTAGTCCTAAATGGGATACATTAATCTAAGGTGGTGGGGATGTCCCCACTTCAGTATCTGTACTTGGTGGAGTAGTCCTTTGGCGAGACGACCAGACCCCGGCCCTTGCGAGCACCTCTGTACACCGTTTCCACGATATCGATCATCTCCTGCTTATCCTCCAGGGGCCAGTTGATCTTGTTGTTGTTGCCCGTGCCCAAATCGATCATGATGTGTTTGTTGCGGAAGAAGAACATCACCGTGCAGGGATCGTACAATTCGTACATCTTGTTGAAGTCCGGCACCTCGGTGATGTCCACCAAATAGATGACCGCGAAGTTCTTCACCTTTTCGGCTATGCTGTACATCACCTCGTCCATTTTCATGCAGGCAGGGTCCCAATCGTGGCCGAAGCGTATAACCTGGAGGAGCATCCATGTTAGTTACTCATGTCGGATGAATGACCAAGTGGTGCTCTACTGGTGCTGAGGCTCTTTCGATTACTCACAACCACGCGGTCCTCCTCGGAGAGAATAGCCTGGTCCACCTGCCAGCCATTGTGCAAATGCGGGAGCATATACGACATCTTGGTGAATTATTTTACTTGAAGTTGGCGGAGAAAAATTAAAACATAAACAAACTCTTGAAAGTTAGGGGTGAACAAACGTAGATTTTTTTTATTTACTAGCTATCGATATATTATCGATGCTTGCTGCCAGTGTGAACGTATGCAAGCTTTTAACGTCTTTTCAAATCAGATTCTTAAACAAATTTTAGGTCATGTAGATATGAATTTCGGTTTAAATGTATAAATCAAATCTGATTGAAAATTAAAATAAATACAATACAATACAAATACAACAAAGAAATTTTTTTAAATATTTTTATTTCAACTTTATATTTTTACAAGGATGTGTTTAAAGGTCTCAAAAATCTACCAGATTATAAATGAAGCTGTTTTTGGCTGGGGTGACTTGCATATGTAGAGACGAGCTACATTACATTGATAGTCATTAAGTCCACCCACTCCTTTGTTAATCCATAAATGATCACAGTGCTCCTTTCCCTTTTGATTATTAGGCTCTCCCTTGTGCCATAAGTTCGATGCCACTGGTTTTCCACTCGAAAGCCATACATGTTTACCCTGCTGGGCTAAGTCCGTACCGGAGGCCCAATAAGAATTTTCGATATTCCTGTCAATAAGGTACTGAGATATCAGCTTTAATTCCTCTATGCTTTCGTATGCGATTAGGTCTGCATCCATTAGTCGACAAGATTCGTAAGCAGCATACCAGTTCTTTTGGATTTTACGTTCAATAAAGTAATAATTTGATCCGATCTTGACGAATGGATCCTTGCTTATATTCAGGTACCCGGGAACGCCTTATTGGAATACACAAAAAACAATTAACGGGAATACTTTTGGGAACACAATCTCACCATCAATAACGTTCGGTGTTATTTGGTATGCCGCAGACACGGAAAGTATTGCCAATAAGGCAATCAGTCTAGTATAACTCGCGATCATTTTGGAAACACTATAAATGCGCTTGTTCAATTTGTTTCTTTTATACTGAACTCTTTGCTAAAATATCACGAAGAAATGTCAAGAGATAAGAATTGATAGAATTAAGTGGCTACAGGCAAAAGCCTTTGTAAACTATACGCTTTAGCGTTGACAATAGATTACTATTAACAATCGTAACTATATGATATCATTGATGGGCAATCAAATCAGATATAGTAAATAAACTGATTAATTAAGCTTTTTGTTTCCCTCGGTGTACAGTTCTTTTCAATCTTACTCGCTTGTGTAAAATGGTGGAAAAGACAAACTTAGTGGAGTTCAACTATAGGTCCCGAAAAGAGTATCTATTGATTCTCCTCATTATTTTTACATGGAAGTTGAACACGAATTATGGCCAAAGTATGCTATGGCAATTAGCTATAGCCTTGTATATAGGCAAATATTAATTTATTTTATTATGATAAAAGGGTGCGATTTTTTCAGAACTAATTTACCAAACAATAAAGGAGGCTGTCTTTGGCTGGGGTGCCTTGCAAATATAGTAAAACAATTTCGAGCATACTTCGTCATTCAGTCCAAAACCATCGGTAATGAAAATAGTATCGCAATGTTCATTATTTTTATAGTTGTTGGGCTCTCCTTTACGCCATAAATTCGAAGGAACGGGCTGTCCGTTTTAAAACCAAACGTGTTTTCCTTGCTCGGCCAAGTCAGTGCCAGCAGTCCAAAAAGCCTTCACCGGTTTTATGGCTGAAAGGTGTTTCCATACCAGATCCAATTCCTCTAAGCTTTCGAACGCGACTAAATCAGCTTCCATTTGTCGACAAGATTCTATTGCGCCATGCCAATTCTTTTAAGATTAGTTTGAATAAAGTAATAGCCAGTTCCGATCTTGGTGAATGGCGCTGTAGTTATATTTAGGAAACTTGGGATACCTAATTGAAATATTCACAAGGTAAAGTAAAAATATAAAAGCACTTCTTAAACAAAATTAAAGACCTACCATTAATAACAGAAGGAGTTATTTTGTAGGACGCTGAAAAGGAAACTACTCCAAAAAAGGCGGCGAGACCAACCAACTTCAAAATCATTTTCGCCATATTGTGAAGACTTCTGACAAAACAGCTTTTTATATGATTTTCTCGAAAAAAGAAGAATTACTTTAAAAAGATAAGATATGTGATTATCACACCTTGTTGTATGAACATTTTTATCTATGTATTATCATATTATCTCCTGAAATGGAATTAGGTCAATCCTTATCGCAAATGTCGTTATTATAGCCGTTATTCGCAAATTTGAGGGGATATTATGATCTTTGAAAAGTATGTAACAGGCAGGATCAGGATCAGATAGACAATGTCCGTCTGACTGTTCGAAAGCTGTGCCGTAATAGCTAGAGATTTAAGATTGGACATGTAAATTCCACTGCAAAAAATAGTTGGTAGGTGTACAAAAATCAATTTTTATGAAAAATCATTCCTTATATTGTGTTGAATTATGTTTTTATTAGCCATTAAGTACTAAGTAGCGTCCTTATCAGTTCAAGTATTTCTGCTTAAAGCTATCGATGTGTTCCAGCACCCTAACCGTCATCTCGTTGATGTATTCGTCCCGACCCTGGTCGGTGAACGGATCGGGAGCACTTCGTCGAGAGACATAATGATTGGGCAGGTTGACCTTGTGGCGACCGATGGACTTGATGATCAGCCACAGGATGTAGAAGCTGAACCACACGGTGAAGTACAATGGGATGTACCATAGCTTGCGGCCAATGTAGAAGTAACTGTACTTCTTGACACGTGGTTCTGGCGGCGGAGGAGGAGGTGGTGGTGGTTCCGTGGGTGGTGGTGGAGGCGGCGGTGGTGGCGGTGGTGGAGGAGGCGGCGGTGGGTGGTGCACGTGATGGTGATGGTGGGGATGGTCATCGTAAATCACATCTGGATAGGAGTCATCCGGATACGAGGGATGGTAGTCAAAGTGACTCGGATAGTGATCGTGGTGGTGATCATGATCGTGCACATGATCGTGGTCTGGCGCATGGTCATGGTCGTGATCCTCCGGCTTGGGAGCCGCCGATTCTGGGTGAGATTCTAGCCAACCAGGTGGTGGTGTGGCATACTCCATATTGGGATCGTACTTGTGATCGTCATCGGGCTGCGAACCATCGTTGTGGAGTGCTGGTAGAACGCCAGCGGCATCATCTCCACCGCCGCCTCCACCGCTGTCTCCTCCATCTCCACCTCCACCGCCTCCACCCATGTCCATGCCATCTGCAGGAGCGGCACCGCCGGCATCCTTGCCCTCCTGGTCCTTCGTAGGAATGTTGTCCATGGCACTAGCCGGCAGGACACCAATCGTATCATCATTGCCGGGATCATCATCTGCCGGAGGAGATGCACTCGCCATACTGGCCGCCGTATCCTTGTCACCATTGCCATTGGCCAGTGGGCCCGGGTACTTGTAACCCGGGAATGAAGGTCCCGGATAGGAGTATCCCGTGTTGCTCAGCCCTCCAGATGCGGGTGGCAAGTAACTCGTTACCGTATCTGATGGCAAGGCTGCTTTGGGATCCTGCGAGGGCGATGGGTACTTGGTGTTCAACGGCGGAAAGGAGTAGGCATCGCTGGGGGCCACATAGGAGTTCACCGAGTTTGAGCCGGCAGCCACCTTGCCATCCTGTCCATGGGAATGATCGTGACTATGGTCGTGGCTGTGATCGTGGTTGTGATCGTGGTTGTGTCCCTTGAAGAGACCAGCGGCTGTTCCCTCGCCAGGAGCGAAGCGATCGCTGAATCCTAAGAATCAAAGTAAAATTGTATTATTATTTGAAGAACATGGATAAGGCAATAGGATTTGTGATGATGCAAAATGATGCAAAAACATCTATATTTACAGAGTTAAAAGATCGTTTTATAACCAATTTTGATACAGTCTTTAAAGTATGTGTAACCTTATCTTTGATAATTTCTAGTTTAAATTACATTACACTACATTATTTTCGTGACAATGATACCTTTCATGTAGCTGGGCCTCGAAGCCTGATAGCGAGATGGATTTCGTGATGATGGGGAGTAGTATGAAGGACTACCTTGAGGATAGATACGTGTCTTTGTGGGTCGGGAGTTGTACTGTGGCTTGCCGCCCCTCAGCAACGGAGTTATCAGTTGACCAAAGGGATAACCAGTCCTATAATCCACGGCGCGTCCTGTGGAGGCTCCTTCTAGAACAGGATCCGGCTGCTCCTCTGATACAGGGGCAGGTTCAGGATCTGGAGCAGGATCACTGGCTTTCCCCGCATCTGATGCAACCAGAGGGGTGACAAACACCGGGGTGTTGGTTGTTCCCTCGGGTTGATGGTTGTACGGGATGGGTGGAAGAGTTGTCGTAGATGTGGAAGTAATCGCTGGAGGTCCAGTGGTGGATACCACATTATCACTGGAGTTGAAGCTGCGTAGGCAAGGATTGTCTAAAAACACGTTCGAAAATCCCCAAGCACTAGTAACTTACATTTTCGGGAATATCAAATCCGTATTGAGGGCCTTAAATATGCGTGGTCCCTGATCATTTCTGGCTCCAGTTCCACTGACCAACACCTGAGAATAGGCTTCAATCCGGACACATCCAAATATAAAACTGAAGTACACCAGCAGCGCCCGTCTGGCGCTTTCTAATCGCATTGTAGGATTTCCTTTTCTTTATCTAATTTCACCTCAGGACACTTTGGTAAATATATTTTCTTATCTACACTATATCACTGAATATCCTTTGGGGGCTACACTTCCCTCATATCCGCCGGAGCTCGGAAATAATGCCACCGTACCGCGTCGCGTGAAATTGTCGAATACGAGGCAGTACTTGGATGACCATTGGTTTTATTAGACTCCGCTCAGCCGAGTTCGTGATTTCGTTTTTTCATGACCCAGATTCCGGGCAAAAGGTGCTACTAGAAGTGATCTATATACCATCGATCTGAACGGGCAGAACAGCACTTTCATTTCGACGACTTCGGAGGTGCTAATTATTTGTTACTCCACATTTCTGATGGCATCTTCCGTTATGTGCTCCCGGTTGCCTGGGATCTGTATATCTGAAGTATGGACTGTAACTACACTTCTAATCCGTGCCCACACGATGGTCTTCTTATGTGGTTCGGGGCGTGTGGCTCCAATTTTGCAACTAATTAGGAACATTTTTGGATAGTCAAGACATGTGAGCTAAGTATGCTTATTGATGAGCGTATGATTCAAAAATAGGAAACCGTTTACATTTAAGAAAAATAAAAGTTTTTGAGATACCACAGACCCGTCATTATTATCATACCTATAAATTCATACAAGTTAATCATTTAATGTGGCATCTTTATCTTGAAAACCGCTTTTAAATAATTTATGAATTCACTTTACACTTTAACACATGAATGAAAAATCCAAAGAATTTCGAACCGGGCAAACATTACCGATTTTGGCGCCCTAACGGTGTTAATTTCCGATCTTCTTTAAACAAACCCAAGTAAAAACCCGATGAAACGATTTCTAGTACGAAATAAAGACAATAATATTTGTCAACTTCCTTGGCATGGATGTGGGTCAGTAACTGCGGCACTTGCTGCAACGTGCCTCTCCCGATTAGCACCTATTCGGGCGTGCTATATACTTATGTTTTCCCTCCTAGTTCACGGCTCAATTTTAAGGTATCCACAGATAACCAGTTCTGAGCATGCCACTTTCCCAATTGGACCATTCAAAATGATCGCAACTTTTACTTGTTTAAAAATGGATTTTCAGTTTTACCATACATACATATATTTCATACAATAATTGCAAGTCTTTTAAATGTTAGTACACAAAGTTATCTCTCATTGAAACAAGGAACTGGAAACAAACCGTTTTAGAAACAAGAATAACAAATGTGTTTCGTTTCTCGATGGGGGTGTCACAAACTAAATTAAGCACGTGGAAGTACAAATGGGTAAAATAACAAGGCTGAACCTAAAGACAAGTCGAACAAATGCTGGCAGAAGCAGCCACGGTTATGAATACCCCAAT